CGGCAAATTGCAGCCATCCACCACCATAAATCAACTCAGTGACCTCCCATCTACACTATTCCACCAAAATCGAGATGATTTGGGCATGATTTCGCGAAGAACAACCACGTTGGTCCTCATACTCCACCGCGGCAATTCCGCTGATTCTGCAAACACCGACGACGGCCACCACCCTTATTCAACTCCTCTTGATTCCAGGAACAAACCCCAATCAACATTGGAGGTGGCGGAGTTGAGTTTGACGTTGAATTAAACTATACCCAATTTCTAGGGTTCCGGCGGGTTTTAGTAAAATTGGAGCTTTTCCTGGCCAAATTGGACTTCGACACAGGTATAAAACTTGTTCTACTCATTGAGATCTTCATTTCTATAAATTTTGGTAATTTTTAAAAATAGTTGAATTTTCTAGCAAGTCGGGGCGGTCGACCGCCACCCACGGCGGCACGTGCGGCGACATGTAGCTAGTGGGCCATCAATGTTATTTTTAGGCTATGTTTGTTGTCTTAAATTCAGTTTTGATAATCGAATGACGTAGATTGAGCAATTGAACCTAATTTTATTATGATACGTGGTTAGGTGAAAATAAGAATCGACTATCCGACCGTTGGATCGTCACCAAACTTTGATATGTTGTAATACGTAATATTTGAGGATCATAGAAATTTACAGATTGGGAATCTGACATATGGATCTTCCATATTTGGATTTCTAAGTTTGTAAAATTAAATGTCGACCGCCACTTGAATTTTGAAATTGGCGGAGATCCAACCGTCGGATCTTGTTGAGATTTTAGTATGTAGTTATTTGAGCATAATGTGGACTTTGGAAAGTTACAGATCGGAAATCCAAGGTGCGGATCTTCCAGATCAAACTACGTAAGTTTGTGGACCCTATTGTTGATCGAGAGTTGACTTTTGGTCAACATGTCATGAAACATCCTAATTACTAAAATTAGTACTATGGAAGATTAAGCGAAGTCTAGTCAGTCTACATTGGTTAGAGAATGACTTGTGTATATGTGATATAGCTATTACCTTGATTTTTATATTAGTATCATATGTGATTATGCCTTGGCCTTATAAAGGTGATTTCTATTGAAATGTGAATTCTATATATTTATGCCATAGATCTATGTTTATTAAATGTGAAATCTATTGAACTGTTATTTTTGTTTCTGGCCATCAATCTATTTTCATTAAGTATGATTTGACTTGTGCATTGGAAATATGGGTTGTATTGTATGATTGGATGGATGTGATGAAATGTGAGGGCTAGTAGTGGGCCGCTAACCCATTGTCATGGGGTTTGTTGCTTGAAATGTGTTTCACCCTCGTGTCATTATTTCATTTCTCATTTCGTTGAGTCTTTGTAACTTGGGTAACTCGGTCCATGTCTTATTTCATCGACTGATGTTATACATTCCACTCCACGATTCCGTTGAGTGATGGTCTGGAATCCCTTCTACTCCGCGATTCCGTTGAGTGATGGTCCGGAATCCCTTATACTTCGCGATTCTGAGTGATGGTCCGGAATCCCTTCTACTCTGCGATTCCGTTGAGTGATGGTCCGGAATCCCCTTTGGTGTCTTGGTTCCGTTGAGAGGTCCGAAACCCGATGTTGATGGATTTCGTTGAGTGGTTCGAAATCGCATCATTTGATTCATTTGAGACAGTTTCAGAGATGTAGGCTTTGGCTGAATCATGTCGCTCTAGCCCTGCAGTTCGATGAATTGTATGTGTTATTGATGATATGGTGATTGGCATTATTGATTAATGTGATAATTGGATGGTGTTGGAATGCATATGTGTGGATAAGTGATGATATGAATAGAGATTAATATTATGCCTTGTTAAATGCTCCTTGAGGTGCTACATAATTGAATTGTGGTATTATATTGAGATACAGTGGTTTATATGATGAATGTTCAAGTGTAGCGAAAGGACAAACTACGAATGATTTGATCCCTAATAAGGATACGTAGGCAGTCTATCGGGGAGGTTAGATGCAGCCATAAAGTATACAGAAAAATGACTATGCGATTCGATTCTCGAGTTGTGATTTGCCATATTCTAGAGACGGGGTATGTTGAGATATGGGTATTTAGTAACGTCACGTGTCGATCCTGGATGTATGTCGGGATCGGGGCATGACATTTTAATTCTCATTATGTTAAGTATCTTATGTAAAAAATATTTCTGTTGAGATTTTTCTGTACAATTTTTGCATATTTTTTTATGTGCCACTAATTCATTACAATATATTTAGGTACAAATGTTTCAGTACACTAGGTTAATATAATATGTTTAGGTACGAACATTTCGGCACACTAGTTTAGTATAATATATTTAGATACCAACATTTCGGTACACTAGTTAGGATCATATATTTAGGTACAGAATTTTTAGTACACTTATGTTTTTGCATATTTTCTTATGTGCCACTGATTCATTACAATATATTTAGGTACAGGCATTTCGGTACGCTAGTTTAATAAAATATATTATGATACAGATGTTTAGGTACAATGTAACATCCCACATCGCCCAGGCGAGTGATCCTTAAATGTATATTCTCATCCCTACCTAGCACAAGGCTTTTTGGGAGCTCATTGGCTTCGGGTTCCGTAGGAACTCCGAAGTTAAGCAAGAAAGAGGCCAGAGCACTCCCATGATGGGTGACCCACTGGGAAGTTGCTCGTGAGTTCCAAAAAACAAAACCGTGAGGGAATGGTAAACCCAAAGCGGACAATATCGTGCTACGGTGGTGGAATGGACCTGGGATGTGGTCCGCCCCGGGCTGGGATGTGACAGAATGGTATCAGAGCCAATCCCTGGCCGGAAGTGTGCCGACGAGGACGTCGGGCCCCTAAGGGGGGGTGGATTGTAACATCTCACATCACCCAGGGGAGTGATCTTTAAATGTATATTCTCATCCCTACCTAGCACGAGGCCTTTGGGGAGTTCATTGGCTTCGGGTTCTGTAGGAACTCCGAAGTTAAGCGAGAAGGAGGCCAGAGCACTCCCAGGATGGGTGACCAACTGGGAAGTTGCTCGTGAGTTTTCAAAAAACAAAACCGTGAGGGAATAGTACAATATCGTGCTACGGTGGTCGAACGGACCCGGGATGTGGTTCGTCTCGGGCCGGGATGTGACATACAATAGTTAAAGGAAGCAAATAAAATTAATGAATTAAAATGTATAATAATAAATTTAAAATTTAATGTAATGACATGGGGATTAATTCGAGCCAAGAGTTAAGATGGCATGGGGAACCTCTAGGTTTAATCATGGATGCACTTTTTGAAGATATGTCTATTTAATTGTACTGTTGATTTGCTACGTGAAGAGAGAAAACTCTTAGTTGATTGTTAGGTACGAAACACTCTTTTTTCTTTAGATCGAGTTGAAAGTCCCGATGAGATTTTTATCCAGACCCATGTATACACTGCTATCCTTCTATTTGTACGCTCCATTCTATTTAATGAATATCGTACCTTATTTAAAAAAAAAAGGGAGACTTTGGATGCGGTCCTTAGCTATGAATATTCTTTGATTGAAACCTTGTTGGTTTTTAATTTTTGATCGAGGTCTCTGAAATTAATGTAATAATTTATTTCTATGTACGTTACTATATTTTTTAAATTAAAAATTAGAAATTTTAGTTGTTTATAGAATTGAGATTTTAAATAAAAAACAATAATTTGTGGGATTAAAAATATTAAAATATAAATATACTATTGTGTGTGTATATATATAAACATGGGTACATTCATCAAAATTAACCAAAAAAATTATTGTATCAAAACAAGGGTACATTTTTCAAAATCACAATATATATATATATATTAGGCTTAATAACATTAGTAAATTTCTTCGATTAAACTTGACATGGATACATTTTAAAATCATAAAAAAAAAAGAATGTACCCATATAAGTTTAAAAATGGATTAGAAAAAAAATTGAATAGATTTTATATAAAAAAAATGGTACATTTTACATATAACAAATTGGTATACTTAAGAATGAGTACATTTTAAGATTAAATTACATGAATGGGTACATATAATTAGCATGGGTACATTTAGCAAAATAAAAAGTACAAATAAAAAAAATATTTGGGTACAAATACAAATAAACTTAAAAATATGGGCACAAAAAGAAATTAATATATGGGTACAAATTAAAACTGAAAAGAAAATTGGTACAAATTAAAAAAGAATTACAACTTAAAAATGGGTACAAATTAAAACTAAAAATATATAATAAAAAATTTAGTCATAAATATAAATATACTAATTGTAACATTTTTAACATTAAATGAATATATTTAGAAATAAAAAAATATTTTATTATTGAAATAATTAATGATGTTATTAATACCCAAGGACCTTGATCAAAAATTGAAAATGAATATGAATTTAATCAATGGAGTAGCAAAATGAAGGATGAGAACCTAATTTCTCCAAAAAAAAAAAAAGACATCTCTGTTTTTTTTTTGAACAATTGATATTATCTACACTAAGGGGAAGGGATGGGCAATAAACTTACAATAATATGGTTCAAATTTACCTTTAGCGAGAATCGAATTTAAGATCTCATCAAATAAAATAAGACATCTATTAAATATTAAAACAAAAATATAATATGAATTTGAATTAAGTAAATATTAAAGGATCAAAATCAATATCCAATTTAACATCAGATTTTTATTAAACTTTAATCTTCTTCAAAGATTAAGTTCAAAAACCCCAATTTTCTTTTGTGTAATTAAGAAGAGATATAATATGTACTAATTATACTCTGTTCTCCATTAAAGAAAGAGAGAGAGAGAGAGATCATTATTATTACACAAGTCGGTCTTTGCCATTGACTGACTTTTCTTTTGGATATTTGAAGTGCTTACTGCACCTTCCCAGAAGGTGCTTTAACCCCTCCCCTTCGTGTTTACTTGTACACCTCTCTCTCCTATATTATATAACAACTTGGTGTTTACTAGTACACCTCACAGAGAGATAGAGAGAGATCATTATTATTACACAAGTCGGTCTCTGCCATTGACTGACTTTTCTCTTGGATATTTGAAGTGCTTACTGCAACTTCCCAGAAGGTTCTCTCTCCTATATTATTTAACTACTTGGTGTTTACCAGTACACCTCTCTCTCTCTCTCCCCCTCTCTCTCCAATGGAAATTAGTGGAAGCAGGTCCTTGACCTTTATTTTAGCCTTTCTTCTTTGCTTTTGCAGTGAAACTTGTAACGCTAAGGATGATAGTACAAACTGTACCTCCTCCTGCGGCAATATTCGCAACATAAGCTACCCTTTTCGACTAAAACATGATCCAAAGCACTGCGGCCACATTCTGTATACTCTTTCCTGTGAGAACAACATTACAATACTAGATCTACCTTATTATGGTGATATACCTTATTCTGGTAAATACTACGTACAGACAATCAACTACAATAACAAAATACTCCGACTTCTAGATCCTGGCCTTGACAACAACAATTGCTCTTCCATGCCTCGAAATTTGCCTCCCGGCCCTTATTCACTAAGAGATCCATATCGTTCGTATAATCCCACCACCAATTTACGACTTTCAACATCAATATTTTACTTGAGGTGTAGAAACCCAGTGAATTCTTCTCTGTACGTGGATACTGCTCCATGCTTGAATAGTACTGCCACTTCTTTGATTCAACCAAAATCTTATAGTTATGTCAAGGTTGGCCCAAACGATATGAAAGTAGGGGAATTGAATGAGGGTTGCAGAGCAGAGAGGATTGCTTTGATGCATTTGAAGTACTACAAGCCCTCTTATGAATATATACACAGTGCACTCATGTATGGCTTTGAGCTTGGAGTGAATTGGCCCGATGAATTGCCCGATAAATTGACCTGCAAAGGCTATAGTTCTGACATTCCTCATCCTAAATGTTTTCCAAACACCATCCCAGGTGCGTAATTCTCTAATGAAGTACTGACTTATTATATTGTTATATAAAATATTCGTCTGTTGCCAAGCAGTGAATATTCATGCAAAAATCAACTGCTAGTTAATTATTCGAATTTACCTCCGGCTGCACAAGCTGCTTTAAGTTATTCAAATTAGTTTGAACATTTTTCATTTAGATTTTTTGTAGACGTTTTTATTCAAATAATCTGAGCTTTTAACTAACCAATTGAAGCCTTCACTACGTAGTTCCCAAAGGGAAAAACTATACGGAAATTTGCCAATTAAAGAAGAAAAACAAACGAAATTATGCTGGAATAGAAATAACTAGCAAAAGAGCCCGCACGATGTTGTTGGTGTTTAAAATGTTTTGAAAATAGATAGGAGATACAGGTTATAGAAGCTAGAATTATATACATAAATCTATAGTTATCAAAAGATTGGCACGTTAAATTACGCATTGTTCAAAAGATAGAGATGCTAAAAAAGTAGATTTATGTGCATAAGTTCATAGTTATCAAAAGATTGACAGCGTTCAAGTTCTGAATGCTCAAAAGATAGAGATGCTACAAAAGCTAGATTTATATACATATGGCCATAGTTGGAGAAATTAGGCACATACACCTCTCTAGTCAAGGATAGAGTTTGGTCTAAGTTCCATAACGAAATGGTAGATTATCCAATCCATAGTTTCAATCAAGCATGCTTAGTTTCAGTAAGCCTTCAGTCGTACGTGGGTTGTAATTAGCCCCAAACTAATATTAATCAACAACTGAGACTAATCTAAAGCAAAATTAATAGTAATCAACAATACTATTTGGTATTGTATTAGTCAACTTCCTGAATCTTCTAGAATCTCAAATTCCCTCCACTTCGACCAGCTGGTATGAAATTAGTATCCCCAACTATCTTCTTATCTTCTCGATCTTATAATCTGATGAATTGTCAGCCTCCACCTTTTCCTTTGCATCTACACACAGCGCAAACAAAATGCATTAGAAGTTTAACTTCGATATCAAAACTCAACATTATCTTTAGATATTTGTTTGTACTATTCAACATTGCGGTGGGCCTGATGGCTATTTACAATTTGGTTTCTTAAGCACAACCTCAAAAGAGCTTTTGTACGCAACTAATTCTTCTAGTTCCTCCCTTTTTGCCTCTGTATTTCAGCAATCTTGCCTAATTTTGCCATCCATTCTGCTGCTTCTCTCCTTAGTCTCTCCTCTTTTGCATAGTTCACAACGACAATATATGATCCACATCAAAAGATGACTACAAAAAATGTATCATGTACATAGGGTCGAGACACAAATAAACTTAATCAATGATGCAGATTCATAGTACGACAACAAAACCAATTTTGACGGTCAACTACATTGAATATTCCTTAACTAACTAAAAGTGCTAGAGTTTCAAACATCAGAAGCTACGATTCAATTCAAGGTGTAAAAAAAAAATTGATCCACAAACATCCCAAAGACGATACTCCAAAACTTTTAGGAAGCTTGGAAAATTAAAACTAACTGTCACAAACCATACCTTCTTCACGCAGCTGGGTTTCAGTCCTCTTCCTCATGAACAACAACACAACATTAAACTTTTACAACAAAAAAATTATGCAAAGAAAATTCAATGAATAAAAGTAAAACTCTCTGAACCAAAAAAAATCTCGAGTTTAAACTACAAATTAATTTGGCCCCTTGAAGCAAGATCAAGATTTCTACAAAATTTCGGCAAAATATCGATCAATTACCCCAAATTAGAAACAAACCCTACTTCATTATACATGCATATTATTTCCTTATTCAGATATGAATTTGACATTATCTCTTCCAAAATCACTTTTGAAGGAGATTATACACATAGTGGAATCTTACCCAAAGCCAGTTTCGTGTTGTTCTTAGTATAGTAGTAGTAATGTTATGCTGCTCTCTCCATTTTCTTATTCTTTTAGACCTAACAGTCTCTGCATTTAATTGCAGAATGTCTTTTTTTTTTGCTTTTAAAATTTCAGTAACCCTAAACCAATTTCAAAATTTTTTGAAGTTTAAAATTGAAATTGTGCATAATCAAAACTGGAACAAAACTCTAAATAGCTTACTATGTAGAGCTCATTGTCATGTACAAGAGTAGCTTGGTTCAACGACTCCTTAGCTCTGACACTCCGGCACCCTAGCTCTGGCACCATTGGCGTGAGCTCCTTTTTGTATCCCCTGTGGATCTTGTCTCCTTCAACGGCTTCTTCTTGTGGTGGCCATGGCTACTAAAGATGAGATTGTTGACTATCTGAATATAACTCTGGAAGATAGCCTCGACTTGGAGGAACGCTTTGACAGCTCCATCCATCTCGTGGGACAACTCATTGCCGACCATGAACCCTCCCAGAATGTGGTTAAGGAAACCCTCCAATCAGCCTGGAACAAAATGGGGGTGGTCCGTGTCCTCAAAAGCTAAGGATAACAAATATATCATTGCTGTCGGGGATGAGGTGGTAGCCAGAAAGCTTATGGAAGGAAACCTATGGTTTGTGAAGGATTACTTTCTCGGTTAAACTTTGGCCCCTATACCACTCGATTGATGACATCAAACTTGACCGTGCTATCTTCTAGATCCAAGCCCACGACATCCTGAGGAATTTTCGCACTAAGGCCAATGCTCAATCCTTGGGGGAAAAAAATTGGGTCGGTGTTAGAGGTGGAAGATGTGGATTCCTGCGACTACACGTGGACTTCGACACCTGTAAAACTGGAAGTGGCGACTTTTATGGCTGTCAGATGGCGAGATGCATATTCTGTTGAATCATTTTGTTCGTGGTAGGAATTCCCGTCGGGGATGTTTCCTGGCCGACGAGCACACAGCTCCCCTGGAGGTTCGGCGCCGGTTGAGGGCTGCTGTCGGGCTTTGTCGGGCAAGTCTCGTCGGGCAAGACTCTTCGGGCAAGGCTAAAAGAGAAGGACATCGTTAACTTTGAGAGGTGCCTTTGTGGGGCCTTAGGTGTAGGCCTTAAGGCTCACAATCAAGGTTAACATTTTAGTGCTCAGGCGTGCCACTGCCATCTTCAGCATGGCAGATGTCGAATGGATGTCAAGTTTTAGTTATGAATATGCATATGCCTGAGAAACCGTGTTAGATATAACAGGTGCCTTTGTGGGGCCTTAGGTGTAGGCCTTGAGGCTTCCTGTCAAACTAAACCAGTACTTGAGCATATATATTTGGTCTTTATGGTTGTCGGAGTCTTATAACTATTATATTTCTGATTATCCGAGTCTGAGAGGTAGAGCGTACCCAAATAGGTGGCTTTGTGGGGCCTTAGGTGTAGGCCTTAAGGCTTCCCATTAAAGTCCGTTCTTATACTCAAACCATCTAGACCGCAGAATAGAATGAATCCAAATAAGTGCCTTTGTGGGGCCTTAGGTGTAGGCATTGAGGCTTCCTATCAGAATCCATTCCATACTTAAGCGTTCTATGATAATCATGATATAATAGAAATAAAACCAAGAGGTAGGTCGATTACTTGCGCCCCAAGTAACTTCGGATTTCTCGTTTATCAAGGATTGTCGTGGATGGGTTAAGTCCACATAAAGTTCTTTTTTATGCCTTGAGGCCAAGGACTTTTAAACTAATCAGATTTACATGCCTGAGGGCTTAGGACTTGGATCTGATTTAAACACTGAAGATATATTCAAATCGGATCCAAGTACTGAGAAAGCTTTGTCATTGTGATTTTGCTAGAAACAACTTGCATATAACTGGAAATATACAACATATTGCTAGACTTTAAAGAAAGAGAAGACAAAGACAGAGCAAAGCAGGTCGGGCAAGATTAAACCTTATCAATTAAGGCTGATCGTCTTGCAGGTCCCTTTTGTAGTTCTGTCAAAGGTCTGAAAGCTTAGAGGGGGAGAGGGGAAAGGAGAATACAAAAGGTGAATCGATACTACAACAAGTTCGAACAAGGTAGCAGAGCTATTACAGAGGTTGGGAGAAAAGATTATCCCGCGGGGGATGAAGGCTTGGGCTGATTACAGCTTCGTTTTGAAAGGCAAATCTGGCTTTTTGAGCAGAGTTTGTGCTTTTGTTTGTTTGATTGAGTGTCTCTATTCCTGTCTTCTCTTCCTCCTTTTATAGACGACTCGGTTTGGCTCCTGTAGCGACAGCTTTGCCCGAATGCGGTCTTGAGGGTGATGACTCATCAGCTTTATTACATGTAATGCCACCATAAAGTACTTTATGGGCTGTGCAGTCTGATTAGTCTACACCACTTGGTCCTTGGGTAGGTAGGCAAGTGGCCCTTATGAATTGTATCAAGTCAGAAAAGGCCCTTTCCTGCTTTCCCAAGTTTCGGCCGGGCCTTGATCTTCTATTCCTCTAGGCCTCCTTTTGGGCCGACTCCATCCTTGGGCCAAAAAATCAAGTTTTAGTCCAAACACATTTTCTGGTGATGAGAAAGGATAAAGAAATTACCGACGGTTCTGGAATTGCAGGGGACAAACCCCCTGCGGTACCATCTGCAGGCTCTGTGTCCTCTACTTTTTTTGACATCGTGGTTTCCCACAAACACAGAATCAAGGGTCAATCCTACACCAATCCTTCCTGGGCAATCCTCCACTGCTCGATCACGCTTAACTTCTGAATTGGGCCATATGTAGCATCCAGACAGCTTTGGGACCCAATTCTCCAATGAGACCCTTACTATCGTTGTCAATGTCCCTTCGCTTGAAAAAATACTAGCTTGATCATAACCGCCTACCTTCTTAGGCCTTCCAAAATTCAACAGGCCTTTTCCAGGCCTCGAACGAAGTTAGTGTGAACCCAACAAACTTCAAGTTACTGGACTACTTCCCACCCCAAACGAATCTCAGGGATTTCGATGCTTCTGCCAATAAATGGCATCCCAGCTCATCAATCAATCCGACGTAGTGAATGAAAGCCACATTCTATATACTCCACCTGCGACAAGGGCAAGGGTAATCCAAACCACATAAAGTGATGACACTCCGACCAAGGCCAACTGCAATGCTCGTGGACCTCCATAAGGGGTGGTTGGGGCGGTGGTTGTGGCACCAAAACCTCTCAATGGCTTGGAATATTTGTCTGATGTTGAACCCAGGTATGAATTTAACCTTTACGATGTGGCTATAAGTCTATCCAAAGAGTTGGTGGAGGCTGAGAAGAATGGATTACTTGAAAGGAAAATGGCGACATATAATGTTCTATCGGTGGAGGCTGACGGGTTTCATCCCCGCCTCCAGCCATGATAACATTAGTCTAGAACTGTCGAGGGCTTGGGAACCTCTGGAAAGTTCAGGCACTACAAGATTTAATCCGGCAACAAGATCTCACCTTGGTATTCTTGTGTGAAACCAAGGTTAACATTGTGGCCCTCTATTCTCTGAGATTAAAATTGGGATTCGACAGGTTTTTTGGTGTACCCTCGCGGGGGCAATCTAGGGGCCTGTGCTTTTGTGGAATAATGAAATCAATATGCGAGTTCTGGGCTTTTCTGATCACTTCATTGATTCGAAAATTGGTGCAATTGGCGATGATTTTCATTGGAGATTCATTGGCTTCTATGGCCACTCGGCGATGGAAGATTGCCCCCTGTCATGAGACCTCCTCAAATCGTTGGCTTTGGTCAATTTGTTACCTTGGGCTATTGGATGAGACTTTAACGAACTACTTCAACCCACTGAAAAGGAAGATGGACATGCCCGTCCCATCAATCAAATCCCTAATTTTTGGGAAGCAGTTAACATTGCAACTTGCATGATCTTGGGTTCACAAGCCATCCTTACACTTGGATCACTACCAGAGCTTGTGGAATTAAAGAACACTTGGATCGGTTTCTTGCTTCTGCCCAGGATCTCTTTAATTCTGCCAAAGTTACCCACCTTTACCCAAGCAAATCTAACCATGTTTTCCTTATCCTAGACGTCTGTGGGTTTCCCGTGAAGAGGCAAACATGGAGAAAAGGAATTTTGGGCAAAACACTATGGGTGCAAGGACGTCATTCGTGCTGCCTGGGCTCAATCCTTCGCTGGTGTTCCTATGTTCCAGGTAGTGCAAAAGATAAAGGTTACTAGGGTGGCCCTTTCAAAATAGTGTCAATTCGTTTTTAGGGGTCGTCAATATGAACTGACTAAGGTTCGTGCCAAATTGGGCAGCTTACTCTCATGATCGCTTGATGATATGGTCATCAAGGAAAAAGCCATTCTCATGTGACAACTTGATATTCTGATTGGCCTAGAGGAATCCTTTTGGAGGCAAAAATCTCGTGTTTTATGGCTTCATGAATAGGGATAGAAACACCAACTTCTTCCACAGGAGGGCAAACAATAGGAGGGTTAAAAATATAATCAAAGGCCTGACAGATAAGGCTGGAAATTGGGTAAATGAGGGCCCGACCAACGAAAACATGGTTCTCAAGTACTTTGGTGACCTATTCTCTTCTACAAGCTCAGGTAATAGAGATTTAACCCTTGACCCAGTTAAACCTAAAGTCTCTGCGAATATGAATAGGGCCTTGGATGGTGTTCAATGCGGAGGAAATTAAGGCGGCCTTATTCCAAATGGCGCCCTCAAACTTTGGGCCCCAGACAAAAACCCTTTTCTTTCACCAACACTTTTGGCATATTATGGGCAAGGATGCCACTTCCACTATACTTTCCTTCTTCTCCACTGGCAATTTACTTAAGCTGGTCAATTTCACCTGAGTTTCATTAATCCCAAAAGAAAAGAACCCTAATGATATGTCTCAATTGCGACCAATCAGCCTATGCAACGTCCTTTTCAAAATTGCTTCCAAATCATTAGGAAACCAGCTTAAATCCATACTAATCCATATCATCTCCCCTACTCAGAGTGTTTTCGTGCTGGGATAGAACATTTCTGACAATACCATTCTCGCCTCGGAGCTATCTAACTATTTGTTTAAGCATCAGCGGGGCAATAATGGGTTACTGTCTTTTAAGCTAGATATCAATAAAACATATGATTGTATTGGGTGGGAGTACGTATCCTTGCCAAACTTGGGGTTCTCTAATTGGCAGATTGACTTGATGATGACGTGTGTATCCTCCGTCTCATACTCTTTCATCATTAATGGATGCCCTCGGGGCTATCTCCATCTGTCTCAAGGCCTCCGTTAAGGCGACCCCCCTCTCTCCATATCTCTTCATTTTGTGTACGGAAGGCTTGTTGGCTTTGGTGAACAATTTGGAGGGGAAGGATTCGCGAAATTTCTTTGTGCTCTAGGGCCTGATGCGACAATTTTACTTGACACACAAATTAAACCCTCTTTTTGACAATTGTAGTATAGATGTAAGTAGGGTATCGTTCTAAACCGGGGATTAGGAGGGCTTGCTAAAACCTCTAAACTGACTCAAAAACAAAAAGAAACAAAGTTAAAAATGTAAACAAAAGATTTTAAAACAAGAAAGTAAAAGGGGGATTTGAGTTTGGTGAAGTTGAAAGTAAAAAACGAATAAACTAAAAACTTAAATAGATTTTAAACAAATTTGGGTTGAATGGATAATGGAAGGCTAGCTAAGGGGTTCTTCTCCACACATGTCTTGCTTGCATACAAAATGATTTCCAATTGCTCTTCGATAAGTTATGAATACTCAACGCCCCAAATTAACCGTGAATTGCACTAATTAACTCTCAGTTTTTCAACAAGTTATTAGATTGGATGATTGCATACGACAACCCAAAACATTCCCTACAAGTTCCCTACATGAATTGCATAATAGAGATACAAGCAAGAATCATTAAGTTCTATGAAAAACATAAGCATTGACGAGGCACTCGTTACTATGATTTGCAT